GGAAAAACAAATTGTAGTATTCCAGTGAAAAAAAGGAGACCACTGTGAGTGTTCCAATTATCGGGACATTACAGTACTTAGTTTCTCAGAAAAAGTCTACGCAAAGACCAGGTGCCGCTGAATAATTAAGGCTACGATATAAGAACTGCATTGTGGCTTCAGGTCAAGCAGAAGTACGTCTAACCAGGTATTCGTCTTATAACAAATTATTGAGAAATCATAAGTTCGCTTATCCGGTTTAAACGTGCTTTGTGCATCCAGATAAAGCCTAGCACCAGATCCCGTGTAACAGCCTATGGATGTGCCTGGAAACGTATGTAATCGATATCAGTCGGTACTGTTCTTTCAATCACTATATGCTGATAGTAGGCGCAACGTCAGAGTAAACTGCGTTAAATCGAAACCTTTCAGCATTGGCAATAGTCTCCGCTATGTCTGAGTTCTGTCTCCTTTCCTATTCGATGCACATGGGTAGAATAGTCAGGTACAGCCAGCGATAAGCATTAAAATCGTACGAGAGGTCGAGATGGGAGGGTTGCTGTTTGCCGCCGACATTGTTGTATTAGCATCTTCTGAAAATGATCTAGAACGTTCGCCGGAAAGGTTCGAAGCAGAGTGCAATTTGGCCAGCATGAGTGCGAACGCATATAAAAGCCGAAGCCTAGTGCTTTCTCGTTCTCCAGCCTGTTATTCTCTTCAGATAAACAAACAAGCAATGGAACAGGTAGAGAAGTTTAAGTACCTCGTGTTCGCTAGTAATGGAAAATTTGAGGAAGAAATCGACCGGCGAACTGGAGTAGCCAGTGGCATTCTGCCTGAACTTGACTGAATCACTGTGACTAATGCAGAGCTGAGTATGAAGACTAAGCTCTCGGTGTTCAAGCCCATCTTCATCCCCATGTTTACCTACGGTTATGAGTCATGGGGCACAACTGAAAAATTTCGATCGGGTATAGGAGGCTGAGTTTTCTGAGAAGAGTTGCCAACCTTACACGTCTCTAGATGGTCCGGAACTCAGACATCCCCTGTGCCTACTAGTGTACAGCCGCTGCTTCTACATATTCAGAAGTAACAACTGCAATGGCATGAGCATGTATGGCGAGTGCCTCCAGAAAGGAAGGTGAAGCAACTATTTCTTGCCCAGCTGACCGGCACAAGGTCAAGTAGATCGCCATAATTAACCTAGTGCAAATACATGGAAGGAGTCTGCTCGAGACGAAAGTTATCTTCTGCCAAAACTGAAACCTGGGACCGTTAGAAGAACTGTCTGACGCGTCTACCTGCGAGATGGAAAGTAGAAGCAGTCGTGGAAAGTGAAGTGAAATATTCGTAGCCCCACTGTAAGCATACAGGGTAATTTTATTTCTTCTGAGGAAAAGAAGTACCAGTATATCCACATGAGAAGAATGATCGATTTAATGATAAATGACGTACGCAAAGGTTCAAACGCGCAATACAATGATTGTCAGCTCCACTTCCATAAAACCGTGAGGTTTTGAAATAACGCAGCTACCATTCGAAAATATTCAAATGATCGTTAAACTCACTCTTTTAAAGCGATAATGGTGATTGGAGGAATAGTCAGGCCGGTGTACCAGAAAAGGTATCTCGAAGATGCGATTTTCCTAGCCAACTCGTCTTCGCACATCACGTTCTCTAGCGCAATTTCGCGTTTCATCTATAAGTTTTACAATAAAAAATATATTGCAGTAAAAATGTGAAAAGTAAAATCAATAAAAAACGAAAACTATATATGATAAGTAAAAGAAATTCATATCCTGAACTTAAAGCAACAACAGAAACGCAAGATTTTTGACCATCCAGATGTACGCCTACTTCAAAACTCAGTGATAAGCCTTATTTTTAACGATTTTTCTTTCACAATGAGAAATGTGCAGCGCTGAACTCGGCAAGATCCATCAGAGGGGCCTTGTTCTATTTTCAAACAAACTCTACACCAATCTGACCAAACCAGTGGTATTTTGTATCTACCTCGAAAAGAAATTACAACAGACCTGGCTGAATATCATACCTTCAACTTACGACAGTTGATGTGCTATCAGTTAAGCATGGTTTGCACTGCTAGAGCAAGGCATCATTGAAGCGCAAATAAATAGGTTGCCATGTTAGTACTAAAAGTAGTTTTGCAACTTCCATATTCTATATCAAGTCAAGTTCCTTCGCTTGCTGAAGAACTATTGCTATCAGCATAAATACAAAACACAATTGCATTATACCATAGATAAGAACAAGATATATAGATAGCGTCGGCTAATGGCTAGTCAAAAATCAAAAAATAAGCAGCCATTTCTGGCCCTTTTGCACTAGCAAAGTCCTTAAGAAAACTGGCAATGGTATAACTCTGTCCGGTTTAGCAGTGTGCTGAACCAGCGACAAGCCCGTGTGTTTGGGTATGTGTGTCTTGTTATCATCAAGCTGAGCAGTTTTTCGACGTGTTCACAACTTAGCAATATTTTTGCTACACGGAACCCGTTACTGCATCGCAGATTAACCGTTCTTCTTTGAAATCGAATCTGCCCTACCATCTCCCCCCATGCTGCCTGCTCTCCTTTTAGTAGACGACTGATTTATAGCGGGTTTCACAAGAGACTGTAGAAGATAAGGCAGGAGTAAATAGTTCATGCAAGTTAATCTTACAAAGTAAACATACTTCTCTTATTCTTCACACTTACTGAGATCACCTGTACCTGAAATGGAACAGACTCGTTTCTTTCGTGATCCTAATATTTTACCCCCAACACTGCACGTAGTTCACGGGTTCCACAATAAATCGATTTAGTAGTGTGGAACCAGAGAGTCAAAAAGTATCTGCCTTCGGTCATCTAAATCTGTTCTAGACGTTAAATTCCTGAGTTGAAGGTATTTTTCATGTAATAATAAGGGTTATTCAGTCATAATTCAGTTTCTCACTTAAGTGACACAAGATATACCAATCCACATCTGCTTACCTTTAAATCCGCTGCTTCTCGCAAAAGCTTTCGCTGTTTTACGTTGCATGGATCTTCATCAACCTCTTTAGATATTGGATTGCCCATCTTTTTAAGAACTGCTGAAAAAGCGGTCTGCAAGAAGAATGTCACTTGGCAGCAAAATACGCGCAAGCAGTATCTACAAAATTTAAATTTCAGATTAAAGATTTACTACCTAAATTCACCATCGACAAAACTTATATCAGTCAATTCTTGTTGCTTACTTGTAATATTACATCTGTAAACAGATAGGTTATTCAATGCAGATCATCCAATAATTCATTTTTGAGCATAAATGCAGAAATTAAACAAAAAAGCAAACTATAACACATGATATTGCATAATGTCACATAAACAGAAAAAAGGGAGAAACAAAATTAGCTTCAACCTATAAAGAAGAATAAAATAAAAGACAGAATAGAAAGTCAAGAACAATAATACAGGAACAAAACTGACTTACCCTGAATATAGCGAAATATTGTAATCTAATAGCTTGGAAATCACAGAAAATACTTCAAGTATAAGCGACATGCAAAGATGCTCAGTGGGAGCAAATATTTAATAAACAATAATATACAACATAAATCCAGTATCAGTATTTAAATGTAATAGATAACATAATTTTATAATAGCCAAGGAGCGGATAGCATGGCAAAATGAAGTAGGTTGAGTAATCATTTTAACCATGAAAATTCGTTATAAACCTAGAAATGATGCGATATCTGCCAACGAGGCAGAAGCATATGAGTTTTGCACGGCTTCCTATGGCCTTAGGGTGAATCTGTCAGACGAAAGACTACTGACTATAAACTCAGCCAGGAGAACTGGCGAACTATAAGTAATAATAATACCAGTGAAAACATGGTGCGCTGTTTTCATCATTCAGTCCATCCTTTCAACAGAGATCACTCGTTGGTTCGATAAAATGAAAATTTCGCGGAAACGGGGAAATAGGGAAATGACATAGGGAAATGAAATGAGAGAACAACGATAATGCGTTAGACTCTTAAAAAAACGCAATATTGCTCAAAATCGCTGACCAGTAGCATCTTATACTGTCAATAGCTTGAAGGTGACATTTATCAGATGACATTGGGGATGACATTCATCACAACTGAGAGAGCATTAGTGGAATAAAACACAGTGCATGATCAGAGAGCAATCAGATGAGAATCATAATCCCTAATCCGTCCGAGACTTTAAAACGAATAACTCATTCGTTTACAGGTTTATCATAAACGCATCAGAAAATCAATCGACCAATGAATGCCACTGTTTCATTAGTTGATTGTTTTAAGGTTCAAGGATATTCTAAGATAGGTTATAAGTATATCACTGAAAAGTGACTGCATATAATCCGTCATCGATATCCGCTCGACATGTAGCGCCCAGCATTCCACTTACTAATAATGATACAGACTAATGGTATTAACATGAATACGAATGAAGTCCACAGCATGAATGAACCAAAACTCAAAAGCTTCACATTTAGATCCCGCACGTTTCATTCTGGATATGTGAATTAATTAAAAAGTATATAATTACTTCAGCAAAAGGATAACAACAAAAATAATTTTTAGCAATGCCGCTAGAAACATAAGTCAGTTGAATGAGATACCACTACCGATATCCCCATTTGTATCTTCTGATCTCATCTCACGGAAAAGATGCTTGTTTCGATTCGGGTTTTGGTTGTTAGCAATAATTTACATCTCTCAAGCAGTACCGACTTACTCTGTTTTATAAAATCACTTTCCATCACATCTCAGAATCACCGCTGAGACACAACAAAGCCTCCGAGTCCCATAAAACTTACAACAGTTTCATAAATTAGTTTTTCTTAAAAATACGCTATTTAATTTTCTATGATCGGTTCATCAGTTAGATAGATTAAAAGCGGATTTCTGTACAATATACGAAAACCTTTATCAAATGCAGGTGAAATAACGCATAAATCATGAAAGACCGGATTTCGCGATGCACCACTCACATGTTCCAAGTCAAAGTCCGCCGCAAAGGACAAAATATATACAAAATAACATATATATACAAACATAAAACAATAATATACGACATTCACATTCTTTGAAGACGTTAAACACACTAATCAACAACCATCATCAATCAAGCACGCCTCAAGTTTTGGCATCACACGAATTTCTATTTTTTGCTCCGCGCATGTAACTGATCTTGAAAATCATATTATGCAAAAAGTCAATTATTTTGCAGACTGTATTGAAAACAGTACTGAGTATTTTATGGCAATGTGTATTAAAAAGTCGCAGTGGTAGCTAAGCATAAAATAAATTTTATGCATTGGAAAAGTTTACGTGCTGTTACCCCGCCTGTAACTTTCCGAACACAGCCTACTACGCTACGATGTTTAATAGTTAAAAATTTATGGTCCTCCGTTTTTAGTGAAGATAAAGATATTCATACGTTAGGCAAATGATAGTTAAGTTCAATGAAACAGGTACAAGTATAGGCTAAATGATGAAAATTCAATTTTTGATTGAAAAATAATGAACAGCATACCAATAGCTCAATTCAGCGCTTTGAAATCACAAGCTTGAAGCGGAAGCTCTACAGTAAGAGAATCTATGTCTAAGCGTACAAGAAGAACAGTGAAACACCGATGATTTTTGAAAAAGTTGCCCTCACTATCATACTTAAAGTATCTGTCTATCCGGCCATGCATCCAGGTGAGAAAGGAAGCGGATTGAAGACCCGAGCAAATTCTGCTATTCAACTTAACCATATCTGTCATAATGTCCTTGCTATTGAACGTCATATCCTCACGATTGTCGTCCAAATTATTAACAGCTGTGCAGGCTATCGGGAAGATAAGTTAGCCTATGATCAGGACGTGCTTCGCCGCAACTGGCAGCTGAAGACGTAGCCGCACGGCAATAACTCCCGAACATTTACGACGAAGATACCACTCAGAAGCGGTGTCGCAATCCGTTGTCAAGGAAGTGTAATCCGTTCATACGCTTACCTTGGGTGATTTTTCGATCTCTCATGGCCAAGATTCCTCATATGCTGCTACATAGAAAGGAATTACTTTGTCCGCTGGAATAATATTCTCCGCATGACTAATTCAAAACCCGATTTCGCAGCGCATCGCTCCTGAAATATGAGCACGTGGTCACATCAACGACTGTGACACCAGTGCGCCCAGCATTGAAACTGCGAAAATATCGTGAAGCCATGGCCTGGTTAAATCCTCCTGGCGCCATAATACACTGGGACTTTCATGTTAAATCTGACAGCAAGGAACGAATTTAGATTAACAATGCATTTCAAAGGCACTTAATCGTCAACCATCACGACTACTGCTTGAAACCACAGCATTATCAAGCCAATCATGCGATAATGACAAGTCGTCAAACTTACCCGTGATGGAACAAACAGATCAACTAAGATCTACTCAAAGAATCAATTGCTTAGAAGATCCGTAACAAGGAGACTAACCAATCACTTGTGCAATCGCTGTGCTTAATTTGACTGAGTGGAATTGTATCTCTAGGGTGTTCTATTGCATCTGTACTGGTAACTATAGACCGGTCATATTTCACTGCTGGATGATGTCACAACCCTCTTCGATAGAGGATAACGAATCCACATCTCGTTTTAGTTTCACTTACAACGCGACTAATTACTGAAATCGTTCCATAATTAATGTCGATATAGGGCTAACAAGCACATGGAATTTGACAATCAGAACGCCCGATAGAAGTCTAAATGCGTTTCCCCATTGCACTCACGAAATTGGACTAGTAATCAAACTTTCAAGACGAAGAATTTAATACAGAGTACAACTGCACAAAATGACAACAAACGATATTTCTCCACACTCAGGCATTGTCACGACACAGTTAGACGTACAAAATGCCACATTTTCAAGTTGTTTTAGGGAGGAAAGTACTATATACAGCCAAAAATATCATTTCGAAGTCAAATAAACCATTCCAAAATATACAACATTCATGAATTTAATCATATAACTCGACAAGTCAAAGGAAACATAGTACGATCATCGCACACACGCGTGATCTAACAACTGAAATAGTACCGCGCAGAATGATAATCAACACAAAATACAATTCAGCTTATCAGCGACGTCTGTTTAGTCACTTTAATAGCCATCGTTGAACGGCACGGAGTTGGCCTCAGCAGCTCGTTCAGGTGATCGACTGTGGCTTTTGCTCCCTGATCTTTCACGAGCTTGGCGCTCAGCGGAATGCGACCTCCCAGAAGGAGGCGACCGACTGCGAGATTTCGAATATGACTTTTGATGGTGAAAACGCGATCCGGAACGGGAACGGCTATCTC